TCAGCCGAGATGAGCGAGATGCCGAGATTAAGTCCGAGATAAGCGGTGAGATTCGGCAAGGCTAGGTGAGAATTAGGTCAGCCGAGGTCAGGCCAAGATCAGACCTCCGCCCAGATCCGCCCAGATCCGCCCAGATCCGCCCAGATCCGCCGAGATTGTCCGAGATTGTCCGAGATTTGTCCGAGATTGACCGAGATCGACCGAGGTCGAGATAAAATGATGTAACTTTGGTTTTTTCTCGCAGGTGCCGCCTCCTGCCCTCTGCCCGTCGCTCGTCGAGGCTGCTGCGGCGGCGACGCGCGCAGTGAGCGAGATTTGGCCGAGAGTGGCCGAGATTACAGAGCCTGCGGCGCCGGCTCGTGCACATTCGAAGCCGTCGGCGTCTGGCCCGCGCCGCACGAGTCTGCACTCCTGCGTGCCGCGCGTCGCCACCGCCCACTCCACCCGCGCGCTGGGCAGCACAGCGGCGGCCGTGTGCCCCTCCATGCGGGGCGACCGCCGCTGTGCTGCTACCTGGTCCGTGCTCTCTGTGCATATACTGAACGTAGGCGAGCCTCGCGCGGAGGGCCGCGGCGGCGAGGGTGGAGAGAGAAGGGAAGGCGCCCGCCGCCGGCGCGTCGGTGCCTACTGCGCGTCGGAGGAGTTGGACCGGCCATTGAGAGAGACCCCCCCTCCTCCCGTGAACGTCTCGTTCGAGTCGCCCTCTCGGACTTGTGGGGTGCGGGGGCGCGGGACCCGCACCGCCAACCGGGGGGATGGAAGGGAGGTGAGAGGGGGAGTGCGCCGCCCCCTGGCCGCTCATCCTGGGAGCTCCGGGCGGCCGGATCGAAGGCTCGCCGTTGTTGGGCGAGCCTTGGCGGGCTAGACCGAGATCGTCCGTGCGGGGGCGCCCTCTCTCTAGGCTCGGGTCGTCTCCTCCGCGGCGCCTTGTCGCCGAGCGCCGGCGTCCGCCTCGCAGGCAGGCGGCGAGGGCGGCGCGCTGGGCGGCGGCTCCTACGGCCGCGACGCGAGAGCGGCTCTCAGTAGGGAGGGCGACGGAAGGGGCTCGCGCCGCGGTGCGACTCGATCACCTCCGCCGCGGCGGCGGCGGTAGCGGCGGCGGCGACCACTCGCTCGCGCGCCGCCCGCATGGCCCAGGCGACGACCGTCAGGAGCGTGCGAGGCACGGGCCGGTCGCCATTCGCGTCGGCCGGTGGCGCGACCGCCCCGGCGCGGAGGGCCACGACGAGCGCGAGGACGGCGCGGCGCACGTCGCCAAGGAGCTGCGCCCGCTCCGGCCGCGGCGGCGGGTCGGGAATCGGCGCGGCGTAAATGATGAGCCAGACCCAGACCTTGATCTCGGGGTTGGACAGGCCGGCCTCGCGGGCAGCCTCGCGCAGGCCGGCGGCATCGAGGAACCTCTTCGAGCTTTGCATGTCGCGCGAGGCGAGCTTCTCCAGGTTGGGGAGGCCGACGGCCAGCGGCGAGCCCGCCTGCTGCGGCTCGGTCAAGGCATAGCCGGAGAGGGCGTTGAGCAGGCTGTCGGCGTCCGGCGAGGCGAGCAGCTCCTGCCACCCGGGCACTGGCACCGGCGCCGGTGGCCCGGCGGTCGTCTCGAGCACCCTAAAGGTCACGCCGCCGTCGCCCGTGCCACCGCCACCGCCGCCGTCGCCGCCGTCGCCGCCGCCGCCGTCGCCGCCGCCGCCGTCGCCGCCGTCGCCGCCGTCGCCGTCGCCGCCGTCGCCGCCGTCGCCGTCGGCGCCGTCGCTGTCGGACCCG